TCCGGCCCCTCCTCCCCTTCCTCCCCGCCCCTCCCCGCCCCTCCCCGCCTCCCACCGCCATCCCCAGTAGCGCGGACCCCAATGCCCGCTTGCGTGTCTGCGACGTCTGCGGCGCATTCCTGTCCATCACCGACAATGACAAGCGACTCGCCGATCATTTTGGCGGGAAACTGCACCTGGGCTACGTCCTTTTGCGGGAGAAACTGAAGGAGATCCAGGAGCGGAGAATGAAGCAGGGAAGGAGGGAGGGAGGGAGGGAGGGAGGGAGGGAGGGCAGGAGAGGGCGGAGTTTGAGCCGCGAGCGGGAGCGGGAACGTCGGTCGGGCCGGAGTCGAAGCAGGAGCCGGAGCCGGGGTCGAGGACGGGAGCGGGGGGGGGGGGAGGGAGGGATTACGGAAGGGAGTTTGGGAAAGACCGGGACCGTTATGGCGGGCGCGACGAGCACTATGGCCGGGGAAGGGAGAGGAGAAGCCGGAGCCGGAGTCGGAGCAGGGAGCGAGGAGGGAGGAGGTACTGAGAAGCGGGAAAACGGAGGGGGAAGTGGTATGGTGTGCCTGTCGGATGGCCTCTAGGGAACATAGGGAGCCTGGATGTGCTGTGAACATGGGCTACGGAGGCGGGGACGGAGGGGCGAGGGGTGAAAGAAAGACTTGCAGGCAATGTATGCTACGATTAAGGCAATGCGCGTTAATATCTTTCATTTCTTGCGGTGTTCGTCTCCCCTCCTTTCTACTGTTCGCCCGCCCGCCCTCCCTCCTTCCCTCCCTCCCTCTCTACTCCATCCCCGCGATCGCCCGGAGCAAGTCCACGTGCCCCGCCCCCAAGGGCACCGTCTCCTTCTCCCGCACGCTCCGACACAGGACCGCGACCTCCTCCATGCCCAAAAAGTCGGTCAGGAACAAGAGCAGGTGGAAGTCGCTCATCAAGTCGATGAAACGCCACCCCGCCTTCCCGGCCTCCCCCAGCTGGGCCGCCATGGCGGCGGCACTCGGAAGCTCGTCCAAGCGGTTGGCCTTGGGGAAGCGGTGGGTGAGAAGGCTGCTCTCCGCGCTCCCCACGGGCACGTTGACCAGGAAAAAATTCACATCCACCGTGGGCGCGGGTTTTCCCTCCACAATGGCGGTGAAGGATTCGTTGACGAGCATGGCCCCGGGCTCCGGCCCCGGCTCGATCGCGCCTTCGGCCACCATCTCCATGCACTGGAGGCTTACCTGGAAGGCGTCGAAATGCGCCACCGTCGCTACTTCCTCCTTCCCGCCCTCCTTCCCGTCCTCGCCCCCTGCCTTCTCCACCGGGGCCAGGGAGACCCGCACCGTCACGAACGGCGTCTCCTTCACCCCGTCTGCCGCCTCCAATTGGCCCATGGCAGCCTGCATCACCTCCAAGCCCGAGAAGACGAAGCCTTCCTCCCGGGGAGGGTGCGCAAAGATCCATCCGACTCGGACCAGGCCCAAGGCGGCGGCCAAGGCCTCCACTTTCTCGGCCCGAGGGTCTTCCAACAGCTCGAAGCCTTCGTGCGTGCCTGGATAGCCGGGGCAGGGGAAAGGAGAAGGAGAGCGGTGAGGGCCATGCTCGTGCGGAGAGGAGGCTTCTTCATTGGGGCTACTCCCCCCCGCCCCGCCGCTCGGGGTGCCTTACTTTCTTGAGGTGGTTCGTACAACACTTCCACCTTCGCCTCCTTCGCTTCGGTGAACTGGCCATAGAGGTAGCCCATGCGGCACTGGTTGAACCCCACGCGGCGCATGTAAGACTGGGGGGGGAAATGGGACAGGGAGGGGCATGCCCGTCAGTGCCCACGATGCGTGAGAAGGCTCGAGGCGCGGGCATGGAGCAAAGCGGACGCATGGGAAAGATGGGTGGAACGAAAGAGCGGGAAGGAGTGGCGGCAGAGACGGGAGGAGGGAGCGAGGGAGGGAAACAAGAAGGGGGCGGGGTAACAGCACGCTGGTAGCTCCAGGGAGGACGCAGCGGGGGGAGCAGAAAGAATGATTGGGACAAAAGAATGGCACGGGCACAAGCATACCTGAAAGTCGTTGCCGCAGATTGGTTCCATGATGGCTTTAGTGCACCATGGGGTCTCGTTCTTTTGAGCCTTGATCTTGTACTCGAATTGAGCGTCAAGCTCCACAAAATCAGTGAGTGTCCAATGCATTTTCATGCTACGCAAGGACATCATCCCCGGTCGAAAACCTTTCACACGCGACGCCTCCAAATGTGTCTTATTCACAATACTTCCATCGGCTGCAATTTTCTTCCCAGCCTCATGCGCACAATCCTCCTCTCGGATGGCCAAATGCACCAGATCGCCATGCTGCAAATTGAACGATTTCACCGTCTGTTCGTCGTCCATCACCCGCTTCCCTGCCGGATCAAGGCTAAAAATCTGGGAAGGGTGTGGAGAGACGCCATGCTCCGATAAAATGCGGCTGCGGAGTGCCTTTATTGTCGTACCTGGCTCCACGCCTTCCACACGCCATGTGCCCATTTTGCTTCGCACGCGCAGGAGCATGCCGCCTGCGGTTCAAAAATCCGGAGAACGATAGAGCCTGTACAATTTCGTCCCTGTGCATCCATGAACGTGATGGTTATGTATGTCTCAGCATGCAATTAGCAAGGAAGGCTTTTACACCGTCAGGGCAGAGGTCGGCTGTTGCCCCCGTCGCAGCTTCCTCGTTTTTTCTTGGCGATACCATCAAATGTAAAAAATCCCAGCGCGAGACGAGGTCTGACCGTCCTTTTGGAGTCAATGGCCTCGAGACGCTCCAAATGCTTTACATGCCCGTGTATTGCGTGCAAAGAAGGGCATGACAGCGGGTATGGGCTATGAAGAGCCTTTCTTTGACTGGAAGAAGACGCCAACTCAATTGCTGCAATTATCATATCGACCGATGCATTGATCAGTGCTCGAAATAACTTTTTCACTGATGGCTGCGTTGATGCAAGACTTATTATCCCTTGTACCTCGAATGATTAGCTAGTAAAAATTAAGAAGAATTGTTGGGCTCACGAAGATGGCTCTTCCCTTCTCAATTGTGCATGCATCCGAAACAGCACTGCAGACGCCTATGATACTATCTCCCTGACCTGACGAGCGAGCCGGCCAAAGAGGACACCCATCCGCGCAAAGCGTCAGAGGTGGGGTTAAATTGTCGGAGAGCCTCGAGTGCATCATGAGACTCAAAGCTCATGCACATCGGGGCTCCAACCACGGGCGTGGCCTGCGAATGAAAATGGTGGCCCAAAAATGGTCTATTAAAAAATCGACCTCCATGCCTCACTTGCCGGCGAGTAAGAAGACACAGGAGAATCGAGGAGCGGGGGAAGGAAGCAGAAGAAGAAGGAGAGAACGAAGGCGACGACACAAAATGCGAGAACAGGTTGAGCGGTTGATGATGGTGCCCGGCGGCATGGGCGGGGACGGAAGTCTGAGCAAGGCGCAGCACGACACGAGGCAACCACTACAACGGTTGGCTGCACGCACAGCTTTTAAATTGTCTGTGCAGCATCCTGCTGCGTCCCTGGCAGTTATCGAGGGTCCAGTGGAAAAAGTGCGGGGGCAACAGGCCGGCCCCAGGCAGGAACCGAGGGAGAAGTGAAGGGAGGGATCGAAGCAGGGGTAGGGGACCTAGGCCTTGCGATTGAGACAAACACGGCGGGGGGCTGGGAGACTGGTCAGAACGAAGCTTGCCGCCTTTCCCGCACGTTGGCGCACGTCCATCGGGCCCCACGGCCCAGCAACCGCCCGTGCCCCAACCTCCCCCTTGGCTTCGTCTTCCCTTCCTCTCTCCCTCCCTCCCCCTCCCCCTCCCCCTCCCCGCCCTCCCACCACCAAGGCCGAGAGCCGCGTGCCCAACAATTTCCCGCGACAGGCGCGGCTCACTCGGATGACCTCTCTTCGTCGCTGAGCACGGCCAGTCTCGACTGCCAGAGCAACCCCCTCCCCTGCGGCGATGGCCCCAGTGACCCTGACAGCAACAGCCCACGCTCCCATGACAGAGACGCCACCCACTCCGCTCCACCCGTCGTTAAGGCCTCCGACGCTCTCCCTCCTAGCCTCGACGGCAGCAGCCACCCTCCCCCCTCCAGGAACGGCCTTCTCCCCCCCCCCATCCCGTCCCCACCCCCGCCTCCCTATTCCCTTCGAACGCGCCGCCGGCACCTCCCGGCCCCTCGCCCAGAGGCCCCACATCCACGATCCCCTCGGCCTATATCCATCGAGGGGACACCGGCTGTCTTCGCCTCGCCTCTGGCCCATTTGGAAGCCGACGCCCCGGCCGGTCGGACCACGCGGCCTTCGGGGACAGAGGCACCCACAAACACCGCCACCATGCCCTTGTCTCCCGCCGACACCAATGGCAGCCAGCATAGTAGCAGCACCCGTGGCTCAACGCCCCCCGCCCTTCCCCCTTCCCTCCCCCCTGGCACCAGGAGCCGCACCCGAGCACTGGCCCTCCCCCTCCCCTCCCCCCCTCCCACGACCGAGACCCTCGCCCACCTCCTTCTCACGGCCGCCTCTCAACGGCCCCTGCGCAAAGCCTTACCAGGCCTCTACGACGCACTGCGCCTCCCCGCCCTCTTCCTCCGGGTATTGCGGGGGCTCCAGGCCGCAGCCTCCCCGGTGCAGGGCCACGCCCAGGCCTACATGGTGGCGGCGGCCTTGCTGCCCGTCCGGATGGAGATAGACCGCGTGGTGAACGAGGTGGGGGCAACGGGGGGGGAGGAGGGAAGGGGTAGGCGGGGCGGGAGGAGAGGTGGGGGTGAGGTGAGGGGAGAGGCCTGGAGGGTGGATAGGCCCGCCGGGTGCTCCTCCTCTTGCGCCTCCGAGAAACCGCGACGAAACAAAGCACCAGGCGACAATGCTTCTGGAAAGTATCGCCTAAAACACCCAACAAATTCCTCTCAAGTATCGTTGTCTCTTGCTTTGAATCGAAAAACGGGCATTTAAATGCCATTTGTGCGTGTGCCTGTTTACAAGTCCCTCGCTCCCCCCCCTCACTTCCCCTCTCCTTGCTTCTATCTGTACTCCCTATCCGCCTGCTCCGCCTGCACCCGTCGGACTTCCTGTTGGAAGCGAGCCTTGAGCCCTGTAAATTCTTGGTTGAGATCGGAGAGGGCGTTCTCCAGGGCCTGGACCCGCGCGGGGACCATGGAAAGGAGGTGGGTGGGACGCAGGAAAGAGAAAAAAAGAAAGAGGGGAAGGGAAAGAGATGCGTTGGGAGGCAGGAGGCCAGGGGCCAGACAACCGGGGCCCGCAGGAAGCGTCCGTCTTGCTCACCAGGCACCCCTAAGCCGTCCTGCCTCCCGTCCGTCCACCTTCTTCCCCCCAAGTCCTCCCTCACTCCCTCATTCCCTACCTGCATGGGCGTAGAGAGCGCCCTGTCCAGGGTCTGTACTCGCAGCTCGATCTTATGGATCAAGGGATGCGGGTGAATGTACCCCGCGAACTTCACCTGTTTGTCCCTCAGAAGCTGCATCCGGATCAGGTTTCCCATCGTGTGGTCCTCCTTGTTAATGACAAGGGTGCCTGAGTTCGCCATTTTTTCATTCGCGCTGTCTTTCCATTCGCACCTGAAAGCAAGGAGACAGGGAGGCGTACATGACTTCCTCGGCGTGGAGTACTTATTGAACCGGCGCCGCATTCCACTCCCTTCGCTCAGTGCGACACATACATGCTTTACATTAAATTGATGAAAAACTCTATCCAAGATAGCTACGACCCCCCCACGTACTTCTTTTCGCCCTCGGACAAGCGGTAGGAGTCAGCTCTGTACAAGGCGTGTATGTTTGTGAGTGGTGCATCGGCGGTGAGTGTCGCAAATTCGTAATGACGCCGCGCAACATGAGGGAATAGAAAGGTATACGTAGACTAGGGTCCAATAACTACGTGCCACAGGCCATTCAATGCGCTGTTGCGGGTCCTCTAAACACCACGATGTCCGTCCTCCATCGAACACGGGGTAAGACCTCGCTTTCCAGTTCGCGTACCGTTTGGGCTCATTCATGCTGTAACACTGGTTGTATTCTCAAGGCCTGGATGGTGGAGAAAGCGCTTTGGAATGCTGCAGGAGCCTCTCTACCCCAAGGTGGTGAGAACCAGACTAACGCTGCTACTCACTAGGAGCTGTAGTTGCCAAGAAGGAAAAGGATGGACGTGAAGAAAAAAGCAACCCTAATTAGCCTGGTCAACTTTGCATGTCGAACAGATTGTGACGGTATTCAGGGAAATGACATTGCAAATGCTGATGTGTTTATTAAAAATTCCGGTCGTCCCCCCAAACGGCCTCTGGCTGTCATGGTGTGTCGCTTCTTTCGAAGGGACATTTGCACGGTGGCTGCGCCCGCGTGCTTTTTTGTCTTTCTAGACCGCGTCGAACCACCCTTTACCCACATGGTGCTCTCACTTTTCATTTTTTTCCTTCTTGTAATGTACAACAGGTGTTAAGGCTTTGCTTCATTTTTGAGGACTGCGTTGCATTTTGCCGTGGCTTCCGAGAACAAGGAGCAGATACCTTCTTTCTTCTTCATCACACCACAAAATTGCGACGTGGCGTCCCACAAGCCATGGCGCGATCTTTGCACGCCTTGTTTTTCCTCGCTGTTGTTTCCTCCATATTCAATAGCATCGTGTGCGTCTCCGCCTTCGTCCCTCCTTTGTCCCCTTTGTCTTATACACGTCGCGAGCACCATGGCCTGGTTGATTCGTCATTCCTCGTCGACCCCATCACAGGTACGACCAGAGAGACGATTAAAGCATGTCCTATACTTGCTTTCTCTGTTGCCTTTTCCCTTTTGAATTTCTGAGAAGATGGCTTAAGACAGCGGGCACCTATTTTCGGACGGGGCAGGAAGGCCATGACGTAGCAGGAACGGAGGACCTTCTCAGGAGTTTGTTCGCATATGATATCCATTAATTCAGGACATGAAGACATGATAAATGCTATATGTGCGTATCTGGACCCCTCAATGGTCATGTATGTGTTCCGGTCTCTCGAATGCGCTAATAGTAGGCCGGTCATGTATGTTTTCCGGTCTCTCGAATGCGCTAATAGTAGGCCTGACTTACTCCTCTCCGTCATCCCCTCCGTCTCGTGCCCCTAGCTCCCCAGAACTGGCCCCATGCGCCGCAGCTATCTCGTCTACACAGCTCATCGAGCAGCAACAGCCAATCGGACGAAAAGAATAAACGCTCGAAACGTCGACGGCGCAAGCAAGGGGGCGCCTCCTCTCCCTCCTCCCCCTCGGCGTTACCAAGCCCGTCTTCCTACGATGCGAGCCTGGAGGAGCTGATCGTAGACGAACGCAAGTCCGCACTGCCTCGTCTTGAGGACTTGAAAATGCTCAAAAGTGGGAAAGCTGTAGGGCCTGACACGGGCAGTACGGGCGGAAAGCCCGGTATCCTGATGCCGCGAGAGCTGGAAGAAATGAAGCAGAAAGAAAAGGCAAAACAGGCGACTAAAGGCGCACCAGCATATTTTGATACAATGACGAAGGTCACATGGGCTGCGATCGCCCTGCTAATATTGGCGGAGGTGGTGGCGCAAGTGATCCCTAAAGCCTCCACAGTCACCCCGGGGGGGTAAGGAGGAAGCTGCCTGACCAAGGCATTTGAAAAGGCGAAGTAAATACGCAGACCAGAAGAATTAATGACCGACACACCCAAAAATGGCAGACAGGTAGAAAAAGGCATTTTTCCCTCCCTTTTTACCCAATAACTTTGCGTGTAATGATGTATGCGATTGCGCCGCGATCCGAGCTGTTAATTCTTCCCCTGCGGAGGGTTCAACCCGTTGCCTCCACCACCCACGACCATGGTCAGTCCGTTTTTGACTTCACCTTCTCTTCGAAGTACTCACGTTTTCACCTACGTGGATGAACACGTATCCACGTATAAAAGAGCAGATTGACGCCAAAAGTGCGGTTTTTCCCGTATCATCTGCCCCCTCGCTCGTTTTGCTGCTTTATCGACAACGGGGGCTGTTTGAGACGGCGTTATCAAAAGCTACAGCGGCGGTATCACCAGGTGCGAGTTGCCAGACATTTTTTATTGAATCTCTTGCCAAAGCTATTCAATAGTTTGGCAGCATACTTCAATTTGCTATTGAATGCTGACAGTCCAGATTTCTCCTCCTTCTTATCTATCTCATCCTCCACGCCGCACATCTCCTTGACAGGCGCCCCTATGGTCAAGTTCATTTTCTTGTCCATTTCCCTGGCCCTTTTCCTCCACCATCACGCATATGTCGATGCTCGACATAATTTTCATCGGTTCGTTGAACAACGTGACCGTTCCGCCGGTTTCCTCGGTATACACCGGCAAATTTTAAGGGGTGCAGGTCGCCCGTCTTCATTTCCAGTCTCTCTTCCCACCATGTCGCCAACATCGACTCCGTCCACGCCCCTCTCTACCTATTACCTCTCCCCCTCGCCAACTTCCTCCAAATTCTGCCCTTCCTCTTGTGGCGTCGGCTTGTTTCATGCTCTGAGACACCTCCCCCAGCCCACGCGCATTTCCTTCCCCCTCTGGGCAACCGCCGCGGAGCTGGCGGGAGACCTGACGGCAGATAAGGCGGCTGAGAATGTGGTCATAGTAGGATCAGGCCCTGCAGGGTACACCGCCGCAATTTATTGCGCTCGAGCAAATTTAAAACCCGTGATCTTCGAGGGCGCGTCCTCCACCGGGGGACAATTGATGGCCACCACGGACGTGGAGAATTTCCCGGGCTTTCCGGACGGGATATTGGGACCAGACTTGATGATGAATATGAGGTAACGGGGGGCTTCGGTGTCCAGGGAGGGCGAAGGCGGGCTGGTGGAGCGTGGAGCAGCGGTGGGGGAAGGATGGGTGAAGGAGAAGCTGGAGGAAAGGAGGGAGGAAGGGAGGGAGAGGGGGAGGGAGGAAGGGAGAGAGGGAGGGAGGGAGGAAGGGAGAGAGGGAGGGAGGGAGAAGAGAATCGAACCCAGGACCTCTTTTTTGCTCCCGCCGTAATCCCTGCTTATTCACCGCTCGATTGCCCTTTCTGGACAGGAAACAAGCGGCCAGATGGGGGCGGAGCTGGAGAGTGACGACGTGGTAAGCGTGGACCTGTCTTCTCGCCCTTTTTCCGTGACGGGGCGAACGGACGGTGCGTGACGGCGCATTCCGTCATTATCGCCACGGGGGCCGTGGCCAAACGCCTCCGGCTCCCGAACGAGGAGAGGTATTGGTCAAAGGGGATCACGGCGTGCGCCATCTGCGACGGCGCCGCCCCCATGTTCAGCGGAGAACCCCTGGCTGTGGTGGGGGGGGGAGACAGCGCGGCCGAAGAGGCGGTGTACCTGACCAAGTACTCGCCGGAGATCCATCTTTTGGTCCGAGGGGAGAGCATGCGGGCGTCCCGGGCCCTCCAGGACCGGGTGTTGGCGAACAGGAAGATCTTGGTGCATTACAACACGCGCGTCGTGGACGTGTCGGGCGACGACCCGGAGGTGCCCTTCCTGAAGAGCCCCGTGACCGCGGTGCAAGTGGCCACGACGGAGGGGAAGACAGAGGTAATGAAGAGCCTGGCGGTCCGTGGTTTGTTCTACGCCATCGGACACGACCCGAACACGGCCTTGTTCGCGCAATTTTTGGATGTGGACGAGAAAGGCTACGTTCGTGTGGCCCCCGGAACACCCACCACCTCTTTGTCCGGCGTCTTTGCGGCAGGCGACGTTCAGGACCCGCACTGGCGCCAGGCCGTGACCGCAGCGGGCTCAGGCTGCATGGCTGCCCTGGCAGCCGAGAGGTATCTGTCGGGGGAAGGGCTGCTAAGGGAAGTGCACCAGCCTAAGGACGACGTGGAGAGGAAAAAGGGGGCAGGAGACAGGGGCGGGGAGAAGGCGGTCCAAGAGCCGAGAGAAAAGCAGACAGAGGCCACTGCCATACCAAGCGACAGCAACAGTGGGAGTGGGAGTAGAGGTGGGAGTGGCACCGGCATGCGCAGCCTCGCGGCTGCCGCCGAAGACGACGCCACCGACACATACCACAAGGGAGAGGCGGCCTTGCAGTCCCTCCTGGCCTCGAGCGGCAAGCCTATCCTGATCATGTTCATGAGCAAGACTTGCGGGCCCTGCCGGATCCTGAAGCCGATTCTTGGCCGGGTGTTGAAGGTGCGTGGGCCTCGGACGACCCGGTCGGGCCCTGCGGCCTCAGATCGTGGGCTCAGGCATGCTCTCGGTGCCCGCTTCCGGTCTTGTCCTCTCCGGCCATACCCGCGCAATGCTCGGCTTTCTTGTCCGATTATTCTTTCAGCCAGATTTCCCCCTGGTACCCGTCCCATCTTCTCTCTCCCTCGACATTTCCGCCTCGTTTTGTGCCCCCATATCTCTCCTGCTTGCGAGGTCAATTCTTCCCCCTCTCGTGGCGCAGACCGTGCTCACCTCCTCCGTTGCCTACCCATCTTCCCACAGGAATATGAAGGGCGGGTTCATTTTGTAGAAATCGACATCGAGGAACATCCAGACCTGACGTTGCAGTCCTCCGTGGCCGGGACCCCGACCGTGCAGCTGGTCAATCTGAAGAATCGGGCCGAGGGGGAGGAAGTGGTGACTCTGAGGGGGGTGAAGAAGGGGAGCGAGTACAAGGCGCAGATCGAAGAGGCGCTGGGGGGGCATGAGTGAGCACGAGGTAAATGACAACGATGAAATAGGTAACAGGGTCGAATGGAAATACAACGGAACGAGAAAGGCAAGGGGAGGAAAAAATCGTGGTTCAGTCGCTGCGACGGCGCAGACGGCGGCCCTGTGTAGATGAGGCCATCTTGATGCAGACTACTCAAATGCGTACAAGTTAGCGAACGATTTTAGCGTTACACACGAAAAGCCTGATTTACTTAAGAATTCCAACGTAAGACTGATCTATTGCAAGGCTCCTTTCATAGGCGAGCCCGTTTGAAAGTCAAAAAAGGATGCGAAATTACCAACACCGAGAACAATCATGCTGTGTAATTTATTTCAGCTTTCCGGCGCGATATTTGTTCAGTTCCCATCTCAGCCTTTTGAATTTACATGGCTTAGCAACAAAGCAAAGATGTGCATTTTGGAATGTATCGATACATGAATTTGCCCCTTCAGCATGAGACAAATATGAGCTACGTTGAGGGAATTGGGCATACTTCACGCCCGAGCTCGACAGGCATGCAGATAGCCGCCATCGCGTTACCTCCTTTGTCTTCGTATAATCCGCTTAGAAATAATTATTCCTGTGTTTATGAATAGCTCATAAAGATGCATACCTATTAGCGGTTTCAGTACGGTAGAGGACGCGGTGCTTAGTTTGCCTCGATTGCTTTCGTATTGCGTACCCCCCGCGTATGCCCCCGAAGGAAAACTTCAAGTGACGAATACCGCCGTGGCACCACAACTCTCACCTCCCATCCACGCAACTTATACGTTCATCATCTAGTACCTAATCACCATGGAGGATGTAAAGCGTGCTTATGATCTTTTGAAGCTTCTCATTGCTGTTTCGGGGCTAGCAGTCATGGTAAGTGATTGAACGTGTAGTTATACATGAAGGACTGCACCTCCGTTCTACATGGCGAGATAGAAATTGATTCACCCAAGTGTATATCCATACATTCTTTTAGAATTATTTCCTGATAAAAAAGTGTTTGAAGTGCTTACGACTTTGTGTCTATTTCTCGGCGCTGCATCATTCGCTGATATTCAGTGTTTCTGATGATCCCATTTCCCTCCCTACGGTGCCTCCCTTTTGTTTCACTTGCTTTCTTTCGCTCTCTTTTTCTCTTTCTGTATTCTCTCGCTTTCGCTGTTGTGCCCCATCACATGGCCGTGACGATCTGTAACCCTATACCTCACATATCTATACCCGTCTAATGCTTACACGTCGGGCTCTACTTCTACAGCGTGATTCTATCTACTACCAGTGGCTCCGGGGCCATTTTTTCCTGCCTATAGTTGGTTTTGCCGCAATGGTTCTACGCATTAAAAGCGCCTTCGCACCCGCATTCTCTGAAGTCCACAATTTTAACTCTTCAACGGTCCACACGATCGCGCTTCCACCCTCCCTCCTTTCTCGCCTCCTGTTTATCCTCTCCCCTAGCCCCCTTGGGCCCCAGTACACCCCCTACCTCACCCTTTTCCACGACATCCTCGCTCTACTGATCTTGTACAACACCATTCAGGCTGTCCGCCACCTCCGTCGTCTCCAATGGCACACACTGAACTCGCGTGTAAAAGGTGTCGTCTTTAACGCCATACGGCAGGCGGGGCCCGTGCGAAGAAAACTGGAGGCAGAGACGCGTGCTCTGGAGGCCTCCCTGGAGCGTTCGCTGAGGCCCCCAGGCTGGAACAAGGGCAGTTACACGGGGGGAGGGAGGCGTTCCCTGCCCACGGAAGGGCTGGCGGCCGAGGCTCTCCTCCGGGAGATGGAGGGCTTCGTGGCCAAAGAGGAGAGGAAGTGGAAGGACGGGTGGGTGTCCGGGGCGGTCTATGGGGGAGAGGAGGCAGTGGGGAACTTGATGGGCCGCGCGGTTGCCTTGTACGCCTTGGCAAACCCCCTGCACCCCGACCTGTGGCCGAGCGTGATGAAGTTCGAGAGCGAGGTGTGCGGGATGGTCTGCCGGCTCGTGGACGGGGGGGACCCGGACGTGGTGGGGTGTTTGACGTCAGGCGGGACGGAATCGATCCTCTTGGCCGTCAAGGCGAGCCGAGACCGGGCCTGGGCGGAGAAGGGGGTCGGAAAGGCGGAGGGGGAGATTGTCGCCTGCGTCTCTGCCCACGCGGCGGTGCACAAAGCCGCGGACCTGATGGGATTGCGCCTCATCCTCGTGCCCATGGACCAGACCACCTACCAACTAGACCTGAGCGCCATGGAGGCTGCGATCACCGCCTCCACCGTCCTGCTCTACGCGAGTGCGCCCACATTTGCTCAGGGCGCGATCGACGACGTTGCCGGAGTCTCCCGCCTGGGCGGGAAGTACGGGGTCAGCGTGCACGTGGACTGTTGCCTGGGGGGGTTCATCCTTCCCTTTGCCCGCCGCGCCGGTTTTTCCGACCTCCCCACCGTCGATTTTGCACTGCCCGGAGTCACCTCCATGAGCATCGACACCCATAAGTACGGCTACGCGGCCAAAGGCACCTCGGTGCTCTGTTACCGGAGCAAGGCCGTGCGTCGCTACCAGTACTTCTGCTTCCCGTCCTGGACAGGGGGTCTGTACGTGACACCAACCCTGGCAGGATCGCGCCCTGGGGCTTTGAGTGCCGCCTGTTGGGCAGCCCTGATGCATGTGGGGGAATCTGGATACATAGAGCGGGCTGGAGCGGTCTTGCGCACCGCCAGAAGGATCGCGCAGGGTGTGCGGGAAGGAATCCCAGGCATCCGCTTGTTGGGCACGGCCCCGGCGATGATCGTTTGCGTGGGAGGAACGAATGGCTTGGATATCTACGGTGTCGGTGACCGCATGAGTAAAAAGGGATGGAATCTGAACAGTTTGCAGTCTCCACCCGGGCTGCATCTCTGCTGCACTCTGCGGCACGTGGGGCGGGAGGAAAGCTTCATACAGGACTTGAGAGAGGCAGCTGGCGAGGCTCTTGAAGAGATAAGAGAGGGAAAGACGGAGAAAGATAAGGGCTCGATAAAGGGGAATGCGGCCATTTACGGCATGGCGGCCACTTTGCCGGCTGGTCCCGTGAATGAAATGCTGGGAACATACACAGACTGCGTGTTGAAATCGTGAGAATGAGCTCTGGGCCCCACCTATCGATGGATGTAGGAGGGGGCAATGAACGGAGCAGGATTGCGTGGGCAGCTATAAATTCGGAGCGTATATACCCAAAGATCTTCCCAGAGGAGCGGAAGTCACGCATAGCTCGTAGGGGGCTCTACGGGGCTGGCAAGGTGGTGCGGATGGAGAGGGCTGATTAAGGATGTGTAGAGCTTCGATGGAATCGTTGTGCGTTTGCATTGAGTTCCGATTTCATATTTGTGACCTGAGCACCCGATTTCAGGAAATTAATTTGCGACGCATGCTTCTTGCCTGCGATCTTTTCCCGCTTTGCTTTATTTTTCCTCAGGCCCGCCCTTTGAGCCAGCCTGATTATTACTAGCTCGTCATGAAAATTATCTCGTGAATGCCTCCTACCGCCTAAATATTGAGGTATGAGGGGGGGGGCGCTTCCTACCTCTGATCTACCTCTCCCCAAAAGTCTTCGTATTCCCTACCCTGGATCTTCAGGCCCATGCTTAATGCTTTTGTCCGACAATGCCCCACAGGATGCGATAGGAGAAACTCAATCTTATTTGAATATATCTTCATGCCCTATTTGCGGGAATGAATGATCGAAGGAGAGCTTAATGTACAGGGAGACAAAGTAGTTGGTCGGCCAGGAGGCGCCTTGTCTTTCTATACAATCATTGCGGGCGCCTTGGGGCTTCTTCGGCCCCCACAACGTGATTCGCTTCCGTTCACTTTCCATAAGCTTTCTTGAAAACTTCTCATTTGGCGCTTTTTACAGACTCATATACTCCACGCGACCCATCCATTTACCCACCGGTCCCCGTGCTCCGTGGCTCTACTAATCCATCGCTTCTCCTGTCCGGCGCCCGCTCCGCCTACGCGCCTCACCATCTCTTGACCCATCCTGGACAAGTATACCCTTTGAATTGCCTTCCTGTTGCCCCCTCCCTGGCCGCTTTTCGTCCTCCTCTGGCGACAAGCGGCGGTCCAGCCAGGCGAAAATGTCCCGATAGACCGTCTCGATGTTCTCCTCCAGCTCGCCGCTTAAGAGAGAGTGCCACATACCCTCGTACAGTTTAAGCTCTTTCTCTCGACTCCCAGACTTGGCATGAAACACCTGCAGGTAGCGTCCGGGGAAAGGTAGAGATCGAGAGAGGAAAGGACAGGAACCCTGAGCATGCTTGGCAAGGCCCGTCTCCCGCACGCAGGGAGCGCTTCCTCTTGCTCACCTTGACGGTCTCCGGGCACGTCACCACGTCGGAATCCCCTTGGAGGAGGAGGTAGGGGTGTTGCACCTCGGAGGCACGTTGGGTCACAAGCTCTGTGGCCTCCAGGAGCTGGCAGGGGGAAGGAAATTAGGGGAGGGATAAGGAGGGCAACATACGTCAAGCTGGGCCAGCCAGGGACTCATCCAAGACACACAAAATCGACGCGCGACTTTCAACACCTTCTAGAAGCTTCCATTTGTCTCACCTGGAGCGCGGTCCCCAGCCTGGGCTTGAGCCTGTAGCCGTAGGGAGCTTTCTGTGCCATGGCCAGAACTTCCGCACGTCGGAACGCTTTGCTCAAGAGGTCCTTGGTAGGGGTCACGGGCAGTGTGGGCAAGAAAGGCGCGAGATGACGGAGGAAGGTGACCATAGCCTTGGGGGGTTTCATGCGAGGAGAAACCTCCAGCATGGGCGCAAGCATTATGGCGCCTTGGAAGTAATTCGTCTGTTCCAACCCGTCCCGGAGCAGGAGCTGGACCACCACGTTCCCGCCCATCGACTCCCCGAGGAGGAAAGTGGGCAGCCCGGCGTAAGCGGAGTTGGATCGTATGTCTCGCGTGAACCACTGCCAATAGTCTTCCACAAGGGCAGCAAAAGAAGGCACGTAGGCATGTAATCCGTCACTCCGCCCATGCCCTTCAGGATCCATCCCTACCACCGCAAAGCCCTGCTGAGCCAAGCGAATGGACCGTGTCATGGGCAGAAAGGTGTTAGAGTCCGCAAACCCACAACACTGCACGACCAGGGCTCGTGGCTTGTCACCGACGTGCTGAGGCCACCATTCGCACGTATGCAGCAGCATGCCCCGGGAGTTAAGGATGTATTTCTCTTTACAAACAATGTGCTCCGGTATCGCGCACGGTGCTACATAAGGAATTTTGCGGCGGTCCTCTCCATAGTCCCTGACATGCAGAGTGGCAGGAGAAGCGTGGGGGGGAAAGAGCATGCGAAACAATAACCAAGACAGCCACGAGATGACTATCGCGTAGATCACCAGTCCCAGGAGTGCCGGAGTGTCCAGAACCATGGTGGAATTTTCCACCCGCTTTCTCTGCCTTCAGCGGTGCAAATCTATCCAGAAATGTGTAAGAAGAGAATTTCAGTTTACGTGCCTAAGAAATCGGTCCGGATGGGGGGCTGAAAGAGGGAGTTCACGTCGTTAAAAGCCACTCTTTGCCATCATCATCGGCTTGCTCACGTATATGATCAATTTCGGCAGTCTTTGATCGAAAGTGACACCATGCATATGATTTGTCAAACTAACATAGTGGTACGACCTGCGATCGCAGGGAGCGAGCTCATATCGTGCAGGGCACTTCAAGAAGCAGGTAGTGCCAAAAAGTATAGCACCAACAAATGCTTGAAAAAATCTCCCTTTAAGCTATGAATAGAGCGAGATCCATATGTCATACCAGTGGATCCTAAAAATAGATGAGAGTATTCACACGAGTCTGCTCCCGCAGCATCGCACAAAGTGAAGCAGACGCGCTCCTCTCTCCACCTCATACTATTGGTACGTGTCATCGGTTTGTTGATCCTTTATATCGAGCTCGTGCCGGAGCGAACAACAAAGCAGTTTTAATGATGCAAAACAGATTGTCGACGTATCTTACAACGGAGTCAGTCAAAAGCATCGATCACAGCCTAGCAAGTATAGATCGTAGCCGAGCAAGCATCGATTTTTAGTTCCATAAAACCAAGCAAATAGCAAATTTGATAAGATATCCCTCGACCACAGGCAAGCAAGCATCGATACTTTATCCCGCAAAATCGATCACAACAGCGATAACAGCAAAGCAAATATCGTCCTTTGTAATCATCGTTATGGTCGTCCTTCCATTCGATCTGCCTGGAGTACAGATCGGTCTGTCATTCCATCTTTCACGAGCCTCTATTTTATTCTTTGCTTCGTTACTCTGTGTGTCTCCTTTTGCTTCACGCTTATCATTTGTTAGTGCTGGTGCTGTCGAAACATTTGCATACGTATTCAAGAGCCCCGCTGGGATATGATTCAAAAGAACTGGCACGTCGGCTTCGAGGGATTCCAGGGAGAAGCTTGCCTTTACGCTATCTCGAACGACTGCAAATCGCTTCTAGAGGTGTGTAAAATATAAATGATTCATTGGGGCCGTCCTTCCCGCCTCTCCCTGTCCTTCCTCCCTCTTGCCCACAGCAGGCACCTGTCGTTGGGTGTTCTTTACGAAGTTTTTTGATAGTCTTAGGAAAATCGACCGCTCTTCTCTCGTCAATTTTACAAAGTTATGAGCGGGGACATGTACTACTGCTTCAGAAAGAAGTATTTCCATGTGATTGTGTAAAGACATACAATCTTTTATCCTATCTTTAGTCTGTGCGGGGAAGAACGGTGTAAGAATATAATGCATGTATGATATATCAGAAATCACCGTAAATCATTTCGGAATCAGCGCACGTCCCGATTTATAGCCCTCTAGTGTATTTCCAAGAAGGATTGCTTTGGAGAATCCGTTTTTTTCTTCATACCGGCCATACTAAAAAACCGACATAAGTTTGTTGCAGGGAAGGAGAGGGTCGAACCCAGGCTGCTGCGCATGTCATTTAATTAAACAATGGAGCTGAGGGAAACCTATTTAACATCACTGCATAAAGTTGCCTGTCTTGTAAATGTAGGTTTTGAGTGTGAAATATGGGCAGTAATCTTGCCCCAAAACAATTGCTAGCTAGCTATACTATCAGTACTAAAATTGGGAGAGCGCACAAGTAGTAGGTACTGAGTAGTGGCTATGAGTAACGGTAGCTAGCTAGCTAGCAACTCCCAGTACTATCAAAATAGGAAAATTGCACTACTAGTAGGTTCTGAGTAGCGACTAGAAAGGAGCTTCAGGACGAAAGCTCGGAAGGAGGTTCGGGACGGAGGTCCAGCAACCGTTACGAGTTCGAACGAGAAGCTCGCTCCGGGTAGCCGAAGGAAGGTAACGGCACGTTAAGTACGGGATCACGGGCCAATTTTGACCTTTTAACGTCGCAACACCGAGGTTAAGGATTATTATTCATCTTACTAGATAGATTTTCTATGATACACGGTGCCCATCTTGTACAATGTGAAGTTGATCGAAATTCAGCGGTGGCATTTATTGCGCATAAGAGACTCCTGGCCAGCCCATCTTCTGTGCGGGTGCAAGGGCGCGTACAATTTTACGAGACCTTGTCCCTATATATGTAGCGTCATTTTTTAACATCAATCAGACTCTCGTCTTTGGGCTGATTGAAGAAAGGGATGGGCCATCTTGCCGTTGGCGAGACCGCAAATCCTCGAATGCAGCCTGATGTCGGGCGTGCGAGTCGCACGCACGGTGCGACGACATGGCACGGTATCGTTGATTTTTGTAAAAGTGGCTTGTAACAGTGTGACTCGCATATCCATAAGTTGTATTCACAGAGACTTTATCTAAGTCGTAGAGGGTTTCAGGAAGTGAAACGCTCTACCACAACAACACAGTCGTAGAACATCGGGCATTGACAGTGAAAAAATTGTACGCATACACGGCCTTCTCGGTTTGCTCTTTATTTTTGGCTTCTTCTTTCATCCACTCACTGAGCCATATTCTCAATCTACCAGGCTCTGATCCGTTCCTCACTTAAATTAAAGTTTTGCATCCCAACATGAGCTTGTGAAAGGTGTTCCTACTACACAAAAGGCTGTCACACACAAACACACCCACAGGGAGCACATTAAAGTAGGGCGTTTACACCGCCCTAGAAATACAACACATATACGCCATGGCACGTCTTTTGACAACGATGTTGTCTTTCGCATGATGGCTGAAGCCAGCTTGAAAGGACATTCAGCGCATGACGGGCTTTCCCCTCTCGAAAAGAAGCATTTAGGTACCCTGGTAGTTGAAGGCAACGGTAAGCACACCGTTGCTGCAGAAGAGAGGAAGCAGAGACCCGTACCCAGGCTCATCTCGAGCGCTGTACATTGTTCCCTGATTGTCGTCATAATCATCGCCGAGTTGATAGATGTAGACAGGGGTGTCCGGAAAGCTATTCACGTAGCTGAGATAAGTTAAAAAGCCTTTCTTTTGTGTTTTCTTGGGCTGCGGGCACTAAATATTGACAAAATGGTCATCGTCGGTATCTGCGGGTGTGCTAAATTCATACACCCGGCCAGGTTTCACTCGCAAAGGCATGGCGACCGAGGCATTGAAGTCATCCCGAACGTAGGCCGCTGCGTCCATCGTCCTCATGTACCCACGTGCAGCGACCTGAGCGGTGCAGAGTCCAAGAAGGAGAAGCGTGGCGAGTGAAAGCTTGGAGATCATGACTTGACGCTTTTTGCTTTCCTGTGCAGTTGCTTCAGTGTGGGCATGAGCAGAGATGTATGTGACTTTGTGTGTGAATGTTCTGGTGAGTCGTATAGCAAGAGGTGCCGCATTCAGTTATTATCTGATTCACTGCTATTTTGTTATTCCCGATGCATAGTTCACTGTCTCGCATCCATGGTGAGTCCCTGGTATTGTTTTCATATCACACATTGGGCGCGACCATAAGCAATAAGGCGAGAGACAGCGCGTCTTTGTCTTTAGAAATAGCAGAGCAAAACAAGCATAATGCAGCAGGCGAGCCTCGCAACACGGGTCGACGTTGCGGTCAGCGAATGTCGGCCATGACACGATCAAGTGAAAGGGACGACTGAAACCATATAGTATGGACTTTACATACATCCGCGTTGCGTCAGACCTTCTTCCCATCTGTCAGGTTTCCGACGTCTCGCGACGCCTGTGGAGATACCTGTTACGTGCGCATGTCTTGGGTTTCTCCGATTGTGCAGTGGGTCTAGATCACGACCAGTTGCGACCATTGACAAAGAGCGCAAAGAAGTGCGATGTCGACTAGAGCGACGTGATTTGAGCGTCTCGTCAAATTGATCTTCAAGAAGGATGGCGCTGCCTGCTGTAGCCACTGATTAGCGGCATCCGGAAACAACAGTAGCTTACGTGTTCATAGTCCAGCGACAGAGGCTATACTATCGTTCTTATGACTTTCTACGCACCGCCCGTGTACACAGATAGCGTTGGGTGTACACACGCAAGCAGACAGGAGTATGTGCGCTTGACAGAAGGTGATAGCCAAGATCCAAGGAGGATGTCGATTCAAACGCTTAGTGCTATAGCGGATAAGGCTACGATCACCGCTCTCACATAGCTGTTTTGGTGTTGTCTTTGGCGTTCAAGAAACGCATGGAAGGGAACTGCAAGCACTGCGCTTTATCATAAAAGATGTAACGGCCGGCAACGGCCGTTACACCGGCTGAGGCATACTACGTTAGGCTAACATTTACAACATATCCTCTTGTAATGATCGGTGATATGGCCAGAGGTAGCTGATCGAGTAGTAACACGATAGTATGTGATGTTTCCCCCCTGCTTTTGGTGGGCTGGTTGATCACAATGACATCAATAAGGCTTTCGTCTTTTGGCTGATTGAAATGGATGGCCCATCTTGCCGTTGGCGAGACCGCAAATTTTCCGAGCAATTGCTCGAATGATGCCTGATGTCAGGCTAAGGCTGAAATTGATAATAGGGAAAAAAAATGACGGTGTGGGATGCATTCACCTTACAAGAAGAACATGAGCACTTTTCGTGCTGCAAAACAGCTGACTTATTTTGTTGCGAAGAAAGTTGAATTTCTTTTTTGGCGACATGTTCTGGTTGCCTTCCTGCGAGGAATTGTCGTATTTTCTAAAGAGGAAATATATGTCTCCTTTTCTTTTCTTGAAAACAAGTTTTCTTCCCAAGAAAGCTGTTTTCAGGTGACTGGCCAGGAGTCGTATCTTTTCTTCATAAAGAAAACATTTCTTGGGTAGCAGGCAAGAGGACGAAGCAATGTTTCGTGTTATTCATGAAAGGCAAATATGCTCTCTTCAGTCAAATGTCGTTCTTCGTCTACTTCGGGTATGACTTTTTTCGCGAAGAAAAGGAAAGTTGTTCTTCAAACATTTTTTCATTTCTTTTCTTTGCGGAAAATGCTTTTCTTCATGTCTGTTGTCGTACGTTCGACGACATGGAAACGTATCCTTGCATTCTTGACAACGTGTGTCGTAGCAGTGTCAGTCGCAGATACATAAGTTGTATTTACAGTGACGGTGTCCATGTCGCAGAGAGTGTCAGGAAGTGAGACGCTGTACTACAACAATACAGTCATAGAACATCGAGCAAACCAGGTCACGCATCCGGTGGGCAAACTGTTGCCGCGTCGACCTTAAGATACATAGCATCGTTATGATAAGCTGTCGGAATCAAGATTACTGTATCATAAGCCTTCCGACTCGATATTTCATGAGTTGCAGAGTAATTTGCGGTGTCGAAGATATGTTTTTACTTTATTTCTCCAAAGTCGCTCATCGACGCTGGCCCATTCCTTATTCTCTGGTAGGGATCGGGAGTACCTTTGCGAGACGCGCCGCTCATGATGTTTCTCTTTTCTTCGTGAACATCTCCTTTCCCACCTCCCCCACTTCCACCCTCGCTTGAGAGACGCCCTAACGAACGTTTCAGGCAGTCAATGTTAAAATCAATCAGGCCTTTCTTTTGAAAATTTTCCGCCCGCATCAGTCCGACAAAGGCGAGATAGCTGTTTGGATAGTCAAAATGAAAGTTAGATTTGACATTCGAGGTGGTGCACAGATACAAATTATAACCGCATATTTTCGGTTGATATTCACGCAGGTCGCAACAACAAATCCCTATCCGTCCGGCCCTCGTTACTCACTCGTCCACTTCTCGGAGGTAGAGGACCATGCCATTGCTAAGGTGGATCGTCGAGGAGGAGTCTGAGTCGTAGACTGGGCCCTGCGCCTCCCCCTCCGCGTCGTATTTGACACTATAGCATCAGAAAGTGAGAGCAAAGTATTTTCAAAGAAGTGAGAAGGGGAGAAAATGATGTCGCCCATCACAGCATCCCTCACAGCATTTCGGAATTAGAATATTGTAGCCGTGCATATGCGCTACCGAGTCGCTCAAAGAACAAAGCATGCTACTCTTCCCATGGAGTCACCCGAAAATCATGTTTCGGCCCTGTGGCCCCCCAGCCTGCCTCTCTTCCCCCACGACATACCCATAGATACAGGAGACGTCCACGACCACGTCGATCATATCCACGCACATCTCGTACGTCTGCATGTCAACTGGATTCGAGTCTGTGGCCAGATAAAGGCGGCTGACCACGTCGAAGAGGAAAGATTTCTCCATCTTGCAGGCGCTGATTAGGTAGTTGAGCAGATTCTCCATCACGGGCAGCTGGTGAGTAAGGCGCTGGACGATCTTGGAAAAGGCCTCGAAGATCGAGTGGTCGTAAATCGAGGTGAGAAAACATGAAACCTCCACGTGCTCAAGGGAGGCGTCGCGGAGCTCCTGGGCGATCCGGTGTTGGACGTCACGCTGGCAGTCGACCTTGTGCTCGTCCGAAAGGAAGAGGTCTCCGTCCACCTTGTGGATGAAAACGACCACATGTAGCGACGGGTTCACGCTCTGGCCCCGGGCCACCAGGTCCACAAGACGGGTCAAGGCCTCGTGGTAGGGCTCGTCCTGTGCATCCAAGACGAAGACCAAGGCTGCGGGGACGCCGAAGACGCCGACTTCGTCCAGAAGCTCTCTCTCTTTCGGACCCTCCCCTTCTCCCTCCTGGGTCATGCTCCCGCCCAATTCCCTTCCCCCTCCCCCTCCCTCCCCTCCGTTACGGCTCACACGATAGAAAAAAAAATCTCCGGGGAAATCCCAGATTTGAAAATGCAGAAAGGGGTTGTTGTTGGCCAAGCGGATGTCGACGGCGTGGGTACTCTCCAGAAACAAAGTTTCGTGGGGAGGCATTTTTTGAAAAACGACGCGTAAAATGCTGGTTTTTCCACTGCGACGGGGGCCCATAAGAAGGATACGGGGCTTGGTCAAGTCGGTGAGCTGAGGGACCGAGAAAATCATAGTGCGAGGGGGGGAAAGGGGTGGGGCAGAGGAAGTGAGCCAAGGAGCTAGAGAGGGCTCACTCAGACACAGGACAGCTTCCCCTCCAACGAGGCATAAGGGCACGTAATGACAATGGGATTAAAGACAAACTGCCAGCTTTGACACTGAAATAAGCCGAAACTCGTCCATGCACAATTCGTGGCAAATGCACACCGAAGGAGTAGGGCGGGGGTAAAGGAGTGACGTTTACGAGTGAACTGTTGCTTCACGATGACAATTATATGGAAAAACAGAGCAAATTACAATGGAAGGATGGCAGGAAATATTGCGGCTCACAAATTACCATTTGCTGCTCGTCAGTGTACTCAAGAGCCATCGCAGCTCCCTCCAATGAGGCAGTGTGCCTTACGCCTTACACTGGCCGCGAGCTATCTTAGGAAACGAGGCCCAATCTGTGTATTGAGAGAGGTATGAGTCAGATGTGATTAGAAAGCATGTCAAAATGTGCGGGACGTAGTGATTGAAGGAAAGTTCACATCCCAGTGAGAAATCAACGCTCGGGGGTTACTGCAAGCCAAGACGGGGAGCAGGAACGCCCGCCATGTTTTTAGTGAAGTCCTCCTCGGACGCGGCTTTTCGCTCATTTAACCATTTTTACGGCTTATCTGATTCTTGGCAGCCGTATTTAAATTGCCTGCCTTTGGCACGTACATCTCTTGGGTCGAGGTCTGCGCACTTTTATTCCGTGGTGGTTGGATACTAAAGCACTGCAGACACGAGCCCTAGAGTACAACACGAACGAGCGCTTCTGAGGACCCGACTGGTGCCCACAAAACAAGAAAACGCGGTGGATCGATGCATCTGCCTTGGACTGGAGTACGGCAGATATTTGTGCTGCTTCATTTTGCGTGTCTGTGGAGTAGCACCTGGTCTTTTTGGGCGAAACCCGTGCTACGACGAAATCTCGACCATCGGGCCATAGGAGCTGCTTTTGCTCCTTGCTCTCCGCTTCGACTGCCTTTTACTCGTATGCAAGCATCAATTTTGTCTACGTCTACTGCCACGCCTGTGTCTGGCGCCCTCGTTAACTCCACGTCTGCGTCCGGGCAAGACCGCGGCGCCTACGACGACGCCCTTACGTTGTACAAGACTTTGCGTGCCGATGACGATTCCTCCATGGCCGACAAGGTGCACACGGCACTCGACGTGGTGGAGCAGGCGCTACGATTGTATGGCCCATCGCATGTCTTTGCCTCGTACAACGGGGGAAAGGACGCAGTGGTAGTAATGCACCTCCTCCGCGCGGCCCTCGCCCGCCATGTCCAAGCCTACGACCTCGACAGCCCCGCCCCTGCAGACACCGCCTCCTCCTCACCGTCCTCGGGCCCCAGCACTATCCCTCGCCCTCGACTGGTCTATTTCGAGCAACCGTCCACTGAGTTTCCGGAGGTGAAAGCCCTGGTTTCCCAAACTACTCAACGGTACGACCTGGATTTGCGCGTGTACCAGGACGTGCCTTTTGCTCAAGGGCTCAAGGCCTGCATCGAGGGCGAAGGCGGCGCGCCTCTGGCTTTTCTATTGGGTACCCGGAAAGGCGACCCGAACTGCAAGGAGCAAGAAACCTTCGCGCCAAGCAGCACCTGGATGCCGGCCTTCATGCGCGTCAACCCGATCCTGTCCTGGACCTACGGGGAGATATGGCATTTTTTACGCCGCTACAATCTGCCCTACTGCTCCCTGTACGACCAAGGGTACACGTCGCTGGGGAAGGTCGATGACACAAGGCCTAATCCGGCCTTAGCCAAGTCGCGGGCCCGGGACGACGCGCAGGAGGGAGGGGAAGGGGGAGGCGCGGGTGGGGTGGGCGGAGGGGAGTTCTACCCGGCCTACATGCTGACGGATTGGGATCTGGAGAGGGCAGGCAGGGTAGACAAGAAGAAAGAGGCGACAGCACGAGCCGTGTCCAATGAGGGGGTGGAAGGCGATGGGTGTAGAGCGGTGGAGGAGGCGGCGGCTGCAGCAGCAAAAGCGGCCGCGCAGGGAGAAGGGAAGACGCCAGTCATGTCCACAAAGGCGTCAAGTAAAGGGTGGAACAAAGCCAGCGGTGGCCAGAGCAAAGAGGCGGCCGAGGGCGGTGGGTCGAGGGAGAGCGTGAAGACGGCGGGGCTGGTCATCATCGGCGACGAGATCCTGAAGGGGAAGACATCGGACACGAACTCGCTCTATGCGGCGAGGAGATTGCGGGAGAAAGGTATGGCAGTGCAGCGAATCGTGGTCCTTTCTGATAACCACGCAGACATCGAGCAGGAAGTTCGACGACAAGCCTCCTTGTTTGATGTGGTCATCACGAGTGGGGGAGTGGGCCCTACCCATGACGACATAACTATTAAGGCCGTGGCGGCGGCTTTGGGGCAAGGCGTGCAAGAAAATGAAGAAATGATCCAGCGCCTGCAAGACGCCTATGGGGTAGCCTCCAGGGATGATCTAAGCGAAGGACAACGAAAAATGGCCCTCCTTCCTGAGCAAGCCCGCCTACGCGTCCCTCCCCCACCGCCCTCCCCGACCCCTGCACCCACTCCCCCCTCCGCGTTCACCACAGAGGCTACAACCGTGGCAGCAACCACAGCCACGGCAGCAGCTGTGGTTGCGGTCGCTTCCAAAACCAAAGTGTGGCCCATTTTGATGTGCGGAAACGTTTACGTTCTTCCAGGAGTACCGTCCTTTTTCGAAGCCAAAATGGACACCATCGTCGACCACTTCTTGAACCACTTCCCCATTTACACCCGGAAAATTGTCCTGGGATTGGACGAAGTGGAAATCGTTGAGGCGTTGAACCAAGCGGTGGCTCATTTCGAGCCAGAAGGTTGCGTGTTTGGGAGCTATCCATTCTATGGGGAGACCCGCCCGCGGGTAGTTATCACATTAGAAAGCGGGTGCGAGAAGACGGTGGAGGCGGCCACAGCGTTTCTGATCGAAAACATACCTAAAGAGGCGGTTTTACAGGTGGGCAAGGATGACGATTTGAGAGGCGGAGAGGGGCAGGTCCTCGATGGAGAGATACAAGGAAGGCACCCATTGTAAAGGAGTCAGATGGCAGAGGATATGGTAAATCTCAGCTAAATTTAAGGGGAGGGAAGAGATAGCTCTCAGAGCCGAGCCGTGGGAGAGAGCGCAATGTCTTCTCTCCAAAAATAAGTAGTCCGCCTGTTAGGGTTACAGGGACTCCACGCTTTATCTCTTCTTCGGTTTACATGTTTTGACCGGATCCTTCTTTCTTTTCTTACTCCCGCCTTCCCGAATCATTCAATTTCTGGCTCGCCGTCTCCTTCCCGTCTCTTTTTTGGCATCCTTTTTCAATCCCTTCTTTATTCCAGTAAAAGGCCCATCCGAGTCAATGCAAATCAAAGACACCCAACCCCCCGCCTGCTTATTCTAAAGCAGCGAATATACATGACAAGCTATCGCATTTGTCTCACCAACGACTGCGACGTGCCCAAAGAAACATCCCACCCAAGTTTTGACGTGAACCACCCCTCTCCCAGCTCGCCCCCCTTGCCTTCCTCTTCCTCCAGCAGACTCCCACATTTAAGGCCACACTGAGTCAGCATCATGAAGCACGCGCCTTGGTTCGATCCGAGGTGTTGATGAGATACGGCAGCTTCCTTAATTTGAAGGCTGCATAATTTACTTTCCTCCTCTCCACAATCTTTCCGATTGTGCCTCCTACGCCGCTCTTTCCCTCCTTGTCGGCGCAGTCTCACCACATGCTACTGGGATCAACCGCCCAAAACGGTCTCCTAGAGTCTAAGCTCTGAGCATTACTGCCCCACAGCAGAGATATAAGCCGACTTCAGAAGGACGGCCACCCCCTCTGTCGCGCATTTCGCGCCCTCCACACCTCCCCTTTATCCCGTAGATACCCCCTCGCATGCTTACTGCCGAGTCCTCCTCTGTTCATCTCCGGTGCCTTTCGCACCCCTCAGAAGAAGACACCGTCATCCTCATTGCCCTCCTTGATCGTCTCTATGTAGGTGGCCCACGTCATCGCCGACGCCGACGGGCTCTGCAGCAACTCCGGCGCAGGCTGCTCCCCTGTAAGGTCCCTCCCTTCTCGCGCTCGGCGGCCGCCAGCCAGGTCCCCGAGCGAGAAATTCTTCTTCATGCTCGCCACACCCACGGAGCTGGTCGTCAAACTCTTGGTCAACACAGGCCGCCCTGGCTCCTCTTCTGCGTCCGCGCTCGACTCACAACCGCTCACAAGCTGCCGTAGGTCGACGCTAGACATGAAGCCCCGGCTGGTGGGCCGTGTGATCCGCGAGCACCGGGCGATCGAGCCTAGCAGATCGTGCACTTCGTCCACGTCATTCAAAAAGGAACGGGCCTGGCTAGGTTTCTTCCCGACGGTACAGCTGAAGGCCGCGACCGCGTTAGGGGGGAAATTGGCGGCGTAGTCTGCGGCGGCGGTGAACATACTCTCATCGCTAGCATCGTCTCCCACCACCAAAAGGAAATCCACCACTTTGCCGTGCTCAGCCATCTCCCCCAGGACTTTTTCCAAGAAACTGCCCTTGTGCACCCCCTCCGGCCGCACTTCCAGGTACCCTCCTTGCAAAGCCTTGTTTTCCCCGCGCAAGATTTCCACGCCCGCCCCCCGCAAGACGCCGCTCAAGTGATCCTCCAACTCCTTGCTCTGCATGTGCCCGAACTCGGGATCCGCGTCCCTGTACTGCCAGAGCAGAGCGCTCCCTTTCTGTTCGATGTAGGTGCCGTGGGTCCTCTTCACGTACACGTCCATGATAGCTTGGGTCAGCTCCATCCAAGAGGAGTCAAAGGAGGGCAGCATCATTTCCCAACCCCCTCCCACGGTGGGGGAGTGGTTGGGGGGGTGGTGGGCGTGGGGCATTTTGTAGAAGAAACCGTGTTCCGCGCCCAGACCTGGACAAGCGGAAAGGAGGGGGAAAGGCAGGAGGAAGGGAGGGGGTGGTTGACGGAATGCAATCACGAAAGCAACGACCCCCCGGTGGTAGACCCGGGTCTAGTCAAGGGAAGGGAAGAAGAAGAGAGCGCGGTAAGATCCCACCTACCTAGATTCTCCACCTCTCCGAAGCCTTGCTCCAAAGCTTGTCGCTCCATGCCCGTGACCACAAAGCAGGCGTTCTTGAAATCGTTGCAGAGATCGCGCAAGATGGAAAGAAGGTGCTTGCTTGGACCCTGAGATAGAAAAGGGGACAAGGCATGGTCACGCACAATCGTGGCGAGAACAGCACAACGACAAGGGGGGGGGCACGTGAGGGGGGAAAAGAGCAAGCGAAGGGGCCTACGCACCTTACGATGGGCCAGCTTGTTGCTGACCGCGTAGTACTGAACGTTCTCCTTCTTCTCGCTCCCACTCACGAGCGTGCCCCCGTAGTCTAGCATGATGACACGGTGCGTGCTCTGCCGGTACGCGCGTGCCACGTCCTCAACGCGGAGGGGGTGAAAGCCCTTGTCCATCCCCAATACCCGGTAGTGCAAGCCGAGGCCCACGCCCGAGTAAAAAGACCGGTCCACGTCCTTTTTCACGCGTTTCACGTCCATCAGGATCTGGTACGCCCACTGCAAGACGGTTTGAGAGTTGACAAAGCGCCAGTCCCGGGCGTGCCGGGCCAGTCGCTCCTCCGCCGACATGCCCAAGGCCCGCGCCATCAGCTCGCCGGTCCCCTCGATCTGCCACGGGTTCACGAACATGGCCCCCAGCAGGACGCGCGTGCACGACACGAACTCGCTCAGGATCAAGACCCCCGGGAGGGGTGTATCCTCCTCTGTTGGCGGCGGGCATTCTACTGTCCCTTTGGCCGCCCCCTCTGCGGTCAAGTCCACTTGGCTCGAGCGGCGACTGCTGCTCGCAGAACCCCCCTCCTTCCCTCCCACCACTACCGCCTGCGCCGCCACAAACTCGAGGGGCATTCGGTTCAATCCGTCCCGGGGGCTCGTGACGATGAATACGTCCGCCATGGCCAAGAGAGGCATCCGGTCCTGAAGCCGCATCTGCCGCTCGTTTCGCTCGATGAAGACCACGGGCGGGGCGGGCAGGTCGGCATGGGCCGCATTGATGGACGTCACCATTTGCCGCACCTCCCGCTTGGTCCGGGGGTAGTCCTCTCCACGTTCGCTGGCCGTTATTCCCACTTGGAAGAGCACCACCTTGCCCTTCCATTCTGGGTGCGTAGCCAGAAACCTCTCAAAAGCCAGGAGCTTTAGGGGAATGCCACGAATCCGCTCCAGCCGGTCGATGCCCAAAATCACCTTCCTTCCAGCGAACTGCTGTCTAAGCTTGTCCACCTCCAGCTGCATCTCTGGCTCTGCGAGCATCAAGTGCCGGATGGCCGCGCTGTCCACCCCCACGTGGATGGAGGAGATCGCCACGGTCCGCCCGTTGTAATGCACAGCCATTTGCCCCCCTTCCATATCGTACGTCACACCCAATATGCGCCGGACGCAGGTGACGAAGTGCCGGGCGTACTCGTACAGGTGGAACCCGATGTGATCGGCGTTCAACATCCCGCGCAACAAGTCTTCGCGGACAGAGAGCGTCCGGAAGATCTCGGAGGAGGGAAAAGGCGTGTGCAAGAAGAGGCCCGTCTTGGCGGTGGGCAGGGACTTGGTAATGAAGGAGGGGAGGACCAGCAGGTGGAATCCATGGATCCAGATCAGGTCTCCCTCGTTGTAAACCTCCACCACCTTGTCCCGGAACCGCATGTTCACGTGGGAGTAGGAGTGCCACACCGAGTCCTGGGTTTTCTGGTCCCAGAAACGCGTGGGGCGCGAGCCGTACACGTCCAAAATGTGGTGGAAGACCGGCCAAAGCGTACCCTTGCAGAAGGTGTTGTAGAACTTGTCGTGGATCTCCGGGTCGATAAAGACGGGGACGCAGTCGAACTTGCGGAGGGCACGGGCTAAGCTTTCTTGTTCCTCACGGTTCAGTTTCCCCCCGATCTCGGCGGGCAGACGGACAGTCCCCACCCACGTGACCCGGAGCCTGGTTCGCAGCGAGAGCAAGTTTTCGGTGTCCCACGCGATGATCCAGTCCCTGGCCCCCTCCTCCTCCTCTTCCTCTTCCCCGCCCTCGTCCACCCGAACACCGGGCAACCCGGCGTCTCCGGACCGCTTCTTTATTCTCGACGCTGTTTCCGTTTCCCCCTCGGGCAAGGACGGCGCCCGCGACACAATCAGCGGAAGGAAGTAGCTCACCACCACCACCCCATCCGAGGGAGAGATAGACACCTCGTCGGGGTCCAAGAAGGCCTGCGCCGCACTCGCACTCCCTCCCCTTCCTCTCTTGTAAGCGACGGCCGCGCCGCCGCCCCCACCTCCCGCCTGCGACGCCGTACCGTCCCTCGACCCTTTCCTTCCCCCTCCTTTCAACGAATCCTCCCTCCCCAAGCGCAGCGACACGCTCTTCATGGACGTGTGCGGCGTGAAGCTCTTCACGTCGATGGGCGCATCTCCCAAAGAAGAGGCCGTCGCCTCGGCGTCCTCCCGGTTGATCACAACCTTCGATGGCGGCTCACCCCCTTCCCCCCCAACCTCCCCCTCCAGCGTTTCCTCCGCGAAATCAAACCGACGCAGGTCTTCCTCCACCTGTTTCGCCGTCCCTTCTTCCCATTGCACCCCTTTCTCTTTTCTCTCTACCGTGGCGGCGGCGGCGGCTAAGGCAGCGGCGCTCCGGGGCAGGGGTACAGGAGGGAGGGGTGGAGAGGCGCGGGGGGAGGGGAGCACCCCGAGCACATCGGTAATGACCTGGTCCTTGGTGATGTGCATGGTGCGCGTGCCGTCTTTGCCAGTGCCGGCAGGCTCCCAGTGGGAGAATACCTCCCCTTCGAAGATGGCGTACTTGTAGGTCAAGTCCGTGTCGTTGGGCACCGACACTGGAGACCCATGGAGGGGGGAAAGGCGGTAAGGAGGGGAGGGAAATGGAGCTCAAACGATCAGAGCCTGCCGGCAAGAAGTCAACACGCACAGACACACCTCCCAAGAGCTCGCCCCCTTCTTTTCTATTCCATCCCAAGCCCTACCCCAGTCCGAGCTCCACCGCGGGTACTCCGCAGGGGTGGTATACAGCGCCACGCCGCTCAGCGCATCATTGTCGCCCAGGGCAGGCCCGCTTCCGGTCACGAAGATGGCTTGCCCGTGCCCGAGGGGGGCTTCTACATGGAACTGAACGCGGGAGAATTGCCGTGCTCTGGGCATGGCACTGGAGACGTTTCGGGTCGCGATTAGGAAGTGAGCAGGTGCTGCGCCGTAGGTAGAAGGGATAAAGGGCCCGAAACTGTTTGCTACTTCCACAGCGATTTCTTTCTGGACGGGAATTCTGGTTTTACTGCGAGGTGCAGCTCCTGTACCGCTGTCAGCGTTATCTTGGCCGCTTTCCTACACTGGAATGCCGTATCGCGCTTCAACACCGCGAGACCATCGGCATCTGGTACCCTTTCTCGATCCCTCGATGCGTACGCTGCTCCTTACTGATTTTAACTTCAAGGTTCTTGCCCTGTTCTGCTGCTTCTTGTCCTTTACACCTATTTTTCGGAAACCAGGACGAGAAAGGGGATGAATGAGAGAGGAACCTGAAAAGATTGGGGGTGCTGTGGAAGACCCGCAATCATTGAAGGGACATTTTTCATGACTGCACGCTACCATGCAGTATTCGTTATTAATACTCAGCTAGGTATCGAGCCACTGCATTGAGGCGCAGGCACCCCAACCGGCCAGAAACACAATTTCTTGCGGACGTCGCGCTTAACCTTATCATCCTCATCACATCCCTATTTTCACTGCCGCATTCTTAGTCACATCAAACACCTATATCGACCGCTTGCACCATCAATACATCTCTTCCTTACAATTGAGACGTTCTAACAGAGGTGCTAGGGCGAAGGGGAAATGAAAAGCGTCAAATGGAGGGCCTGACTATCTCATAAGAGACAAGGATAGGTCAGGGGGTCTGCTATAAACGAGACTCAAAGAAATCAAGGGATCATGCACCTGCACTACTGCCAGCCCGTCCCCGGGGAAAACCCTGCGATGTAAGGGCACGACTGAAACATGCATGCACACAAGGTGTGGCCTAATACGGCTCCGGCGGTCGACTCCGTGGTACTCGCGCCGTTAACCTCCGTGAAGAGGGAGCGAGCTGCCCTCCCTCCCTCCTCCTCCCTCAAGCCTTTCCGGCCAAACCACCATGCCCAAATCCACCTGTTTCCTTCCGTCCGACCCGAAAATGCATGGATGACACCACGAAGAGGTGCGCATCCTTTCCCATGCACCCAGGCGTGGTGTCGCATCGCAGTGGTCGTGTCTACACGGCGACTTGTGTTGAGGATGACATCACGACCCTCCCATCTTGAAAGGTTCTGTCGCCCCGGCGGCAGGACTCTCCAAAAGACATAAGGGCCGTATTTATCGGCCTCCTGCACACATGCTGGTTGCGAAAGCCACCAATTTTTATTCAACTGTCAGACCTGTCATTCTGTTTGCACGCCAGACACCGGAATTCTCGGACTCCTGACTGAGAAAGGGGACATTCACAAGGCCGGCGCGGCCGGAAACCTCCCCTGATCCTCGTATCGTACACTTTACGCGTTCATTGCAAGCATTTACAAATGTCGCCCCGTCATAATGTCATACTAAATATTTTAGGTGTAGGAAGAGGTGGATAAGGCACGTATACGTCATTCCGTATGTTGTCACCCATAGCGGAGTCGCCGCTTAAAGAGCAAGCTGCCGAGCAAGACGAGGAAGGAGAAACGAAGAATGTGAACCATTCACGCGACGTCGAGCATGTAGTGGAAGAGGATGAAGAAAATTTGCTGTCAGCCGATGCTTTGAGAAGGCGGATCCAGGAATCTACCCGCTGCGGGAAACCATTCCGAGGGACTCCGGTAGGCCATAAAAGAAGGAGGGGGGGAAGGGAAGTAGAGGCGCGGCGGTAGAGAGTGATTAAGCACGAGGAGATCGTGTATCGGAAGATTTAAGGCATGAGGATACATTAAAGTGCTTTTGCCGTGAAGAGACCGAGACGGGACAGGGGGGGACTTTGGCTTGGAAACTCATGCCATCTCTGCCGTGTCTACGGTCCCTCTTTTCTTCGATCTCGCGCCTTTTCGTAGATGGAAATGGAGAGCGGGTGTGAAGCCTTACGAACCCCATCGCCATGGCTGTCGTCGGCGCCTTATATCAGCCTTGGGACGACGTCCATGCCCTCCTCCGCGCCTGCCGGCCACCTGGGGGCCACGCACTCCCCCTTACCCTCGCGGTCAGCCTCCTCCTCAAGAACAAACCCATGGAGAAGGCCTTTGGACCTGCTTATATCCACCCGAAACATTGTGGGGCAGATTTTGAGCTTCTCGAGAGGGGGCATGGAATGCCCCCTACCTGTGCTGTATGACGAGGACCATCCCGACCCCTTCGTAAGTAAGCGTGATGTGATTGCCCAGCCTTGCCACGCACTTGTGCCTCTGCAATGCTGCATGCCCCATGCATGAAAGCGTGCGAGCAGGCTGCAGCCATCTGGGCCTGTTTGCAGTAGTGCTATAGAAGCTATTTTTCCGCGTCACCATTTCCCTGAATCTCTTCCCTTCTCCCTCCACCCTCCAGGAGTGCCTCTGCAACCTGATCAACATGCCACGCGTCCCAGCGGCCCGCCACCACTACCTGATCTACCTATCCCCTCCCCCGCCCTCCTCCTCCCTCGGGCCCTCCCTGCCTTCCTCCTCCTGCCCGCCGCCCCCTGGCGGGCGTTTGTACACAGTCGGGCCACACTGGGCCGGCGTGGTCTTCACAGTCTTCCTCGTCTGCCTCGCATCTTTCCTCTTCATTTCCCATGTCTGCGTCCCCCTCGGCCCCTTCTTCGTCCTTGTCGCCGGTGTCTACACGGGCCTCACCCTTTTGACCCTTCTACGCACCGCCTGTCTCGATCCGGGCCTCATCACGCGCTCCGTCCCGCCCTCGTTGCCCCGCCGGAAGTACTGCAGCATTTGTCGCCTCTACACCGGCCCTACCGCCCGACACTGCGAAGACTGCGGCGTCTGCATCGAAGGGATGGACCACCACTGTCCCTGGATGGGCCACTGCGTGGGGAGTGGCAATATGGGGGCTTTCCTCTGCTTCAATTGCGTCTGGCTCACCTACGTCTTGTTCGTCTTGGCCTGCCTGGCGGCGCAGAGCGGGGTCTTTGGGAACGCGACACGCGTGGAAAACTAGGGGGGTAGCTGGCGGCTTCTCCCATTCCCTTCGTGCGCCCAATCCTGGCGGCTTTCCTGGAAGCCCAACCCTCGATGTCGGGCCGGGGACTTGAGCATCATGTCTCCTTAACTACCTCGCTTTTGCTCAGGAACGTCTGTCTAACGGCGTGCAGGGGCCTCGATGCAATGGTTGGGGTGCGCGTTGTAGGGAATGTAGTGGGGTGTGGCGTCGAACACCGTCAGGAAAGGAGGGAGGTTTCAGGATTTAAAATCAGGTGCGAGGGCACTGCCGGAGCGTGGGAAGAGACGATGGGCATCCAGAGGCGATGAGTAAAGCACAGAGGTGCAGGAGGAAAGTGAGGCCCGAAAATTTAAGACTGAAGGCCCCATGTCGACAGGAATAGGCAAATGAAGCAGGCAGCGTGGGGAAGGGAAAGACCGACCTAGTAAAGTAAATGCCTAGGCACAGGGCACCCATAAAATAAATTTAAATCGTTCTCATGGGCAGGAAACCTGTATTTCTCTTCTTTTTGGCAAACGCACCTTGTTTTAGTGCCATGGAGCTATTGCACTCATCTTCGGGACGGGGCCTTGTCGCCCTTTTTCCCTAAAAAATATTTGATGTTAACGTAATCTTCTCCATTGGATACTCAATGGCTCCTCCGCATCTATCCTTAATTTCCCACGGTGCTCGCGGAAGTTGCGGCGCCAAATTTCTTCCCTTGCCTGGTCATGTCCAGTCGACATCCCTCTCCCTCATTTCAAGCACGTACCAGACAACATGCATGCACATATGTACAGGTGCCTCCTCCCCCCCCCGGCTCAATAGAATGATCCTACCACCCTGACCCTGTGAGCAGTCTGGCTGCTATCCTTTCCAGTCCCGCCGACGTTGCTGCAACAGTGCAATTAAACGGCCATGATTCCTGCCTCTGCAGCTGCCCACATGTCACAACCCCCTTCTCGTTTGTGAGGCCCTACGCACTACCCTAGCATCCCTTTTTTACAGACTCTAAGGCTGTGCCCCGACACGGGGCTACGCGACAGCATCGATCGCAACGGCTTCCCGTCCACGGGCGTCTCGCTCTCTGTCAATGATGTTGCTCGCACCATCCAATCCCAGCCACACATTACTTTACCCAAACCTCGACCACCTGGCGGTTTAGACTCGTCCCAGCGGGCAAGCCCCCCCGCTCTTCTTTCCCTTTCCCCGCCTCTTCTTCTTCTTGTGTCATCCATAGCTTCGCTGCGAGCCCGTCGAGAAGATAGGGATACCCTTACCGCCTCCCTTTCCCTTCTTCTTCTGCTGTTGGTGTGGTTGCAGTGGCTGCTTCCCAGGCCTCGGCGGCTCTTTCCCGTCCGACGCCGTGGGAGGGATGGAGGCCCCAGGGCTGGCCTGCCCAGCCTGCCACATGCCGCCGGCCTCGCTCCTCTCCGGGAGGGAAGACGACGTACCCGAGGTAACCGAGAACGGAGTCCGCCCCGTCCAGACCCCCCTCCCTCCCTCCCCGCCTGACCCCGGCTCCGGTACGCGCCCCAAGGGCGGGGCGGAGGCACGGAGGGAGGGAGGGGAGGAGCAGTCCCTGCCTCCTGAGCCCCCAGTCCCGGACGCCCCGCCAGTCCCTCCGTTCGCTGGCACAGCCCCGGATAAGGGCGGGGGCTCGGACTTGCGGCCTGGGGGAGAGGAGGACATGGGCGCGGGCGAACCGCCTCCACCGCCTCCCAACGCCGGGAACATTTCCTCTCGGAGCATCGTCGTCGCCGCCCCCCCTTTCTTCCGGATCACCTCGGCAAATGACGACGTCAGGGCGCGACGTTCCTCAGACGGGCTCCCACTCAGCACGCCCCCCTCCTTCTCTCCTTCCTTTCCCCCGTCCTCTCCCTCACCTGCCTCCTCCCGCCTGTCCCCGCCCGACACCATCCTCGCCGCTTCCCACGGCTGCGGCCCATTCAAGTCCACCCCCTTCTCACGCTGCGCCTGGATTCGTCGGATTTCCTCCTCCGTCAGGCTCGACCTCCGCCCTGCCTCCCGCACGGCCTCCCTCTCCACCTCCCGCGCCCGCCGTGCTGCCTCCCTCTCTTCCGCCCTCTCCCGCTGCTTCCTCCGCTGCGCCCGCTTTTTCATCTCCGGCTTGAAAAGCTCCAAAGTTGGCGGGGAGAGGAGGGCGGGGGGGAGGGCCAGCTCGACCAGCTTCACGCTCGAGTAGAGGGGGAGGTGCTTCAGGAAGCCGTACCGGCCTGTAGGGGGCGGAAAGAGAAGAAGGACAAGGCGACGAGCATGTGAGTGTACGACACAGTGAGCTTCAGAGTATACGGTGAACGGCTCTCCCGCGTACGTAGCCCCACGCTTCGCCGGAAACCCGCCGACCATCCACACAGGGCCTTTCGGCCCATGCGCACACAAGCAATTCCCCGACAATCCCCTCCCCCATCCGTTTCCCTCACCTCGAAGCTCCGGCGTCAGCACCAGGGTCTCCGCCTCCAAAAACCGTCCCCTCCACCACCTGGGGCAGCAGAGCGTGGCGCCCGCCCGCCTCGGCCATCAGGCAGCGCATGGTCAGTGGGTGGAGGAAGGCGAGCTGGCCGTCCTCGAGCTGGTAGAAGTGGGAGGCCTGCGAGTCCAGGCCCTCCCCGCTGAGAGACGAGGGGCCGAGGGAGGCCGAGGGGGAGGACGGGCAGGCTTTGTCCTCCCGGGCGGAGGAAACGTCGTCCATGGGAAAGGGAAAGCCGTCGGCGGGGCAGGAGGCGGAAAAGCCCCCCTCCCCTGGCTCGCCCCCTCCCCCTCTTCTCCTCCCTCCCCCTTCCTTCCCTCCCCCAGACTCGCTCGTGCCTTCGCTATGCCCACGGGGCCGTTGAGACGGGCGCGGCGTCGACGCCTGCGCGGGACCCGAACCTCCAACGGGCCCTCCCCCTTTCCCTCCCTTCCCTCCTCCTCCCCTTCCGGCGGCGTCCTCCCGACCCATCCCCGCCCGCGCCCCGGGCGGTCCCTCGACCAGGCCCTGGCCTCCCGGCCTCCGAGCAGCATATTTCTCGCGCCGCCGGTCCAGCATCTTCAAGGCCTCGTCGATGAAAGGGATCCACTCGGCGCCCTCCACCCCGACGCTTTCCTCCCGCGCCGCCACCAACTCCGCCGCCTCCCGGGTCAAGGTCGCCACTTCTTGCTCCCACGAGGAGAGGATGAGGCGGGAAAAGGCAGCCTCGGGCGACCCCACGCGAGGGAGGAGAAGACGCGGCAGGGGCGTGGCCGAAGGGGGGGAGGAAGCCCGGGTACCCAGGAAGGACACCTTCCCGGAGGAACACTTTCCTTCCTCCTCCAGGGCCTCAGCCAGTCCGGGGGGCCAGCCCCCTTCCTCCTCACTCCCCACGCTGCTACTCCTTCCCCGCACCCGGTTCCCCCCCCCTCCCCCTCCTCCCCCTCCTTCCACCACCCGCGGCGTCAGTGACCCCTTCGTGCGCGCCAACAGCAGGAACTTCACCCGTTCCTCCCGGCCTGCCTCCTCCTCCCTCGCCTCCTCGGACTCAGCAGACGAGGAGGGCGGTGACGGGGAGGCGGAGAGCGGCGGTGATGAGGCAGGAAGGGAAGGCGACCAGGCCTCCAGGGGCCTCAAGTCGCTTTGGTGGATGTGCTCCAGGCACATGGGGCAGCGGCGAACGCATCCTTCTTCTTCCAGATACCTCAAGACGCAGGGAGCACAGTAGTGATGCCCGCAGCGCGTGATCTGGGCAGCACGCGGATGGTCGAAGCAGATGGGGCAAGGGGGGAGGTGGGGATGAGGGAAGGGAGGAGGACGAGGTCCACATGCTCCCAGTCCATGGGGGAGTCCGCGTCGAAGAGCGCGGGGTGGGAGGGGGGCACGGAGGGGAGAAAGGACCAGGCGGAAACTGGGTAGGGAGGCGGGGATAAACGGCAGGCGAAAAGGATGGTGGGGGGGGGG